TTTTTTTTTTTTTTTTTTTTTTTTTTTTTTTTTCTGTGCTGATGTTGTGCTGACCGCGTAGCTCAGTTGGAAGAGCATTGGGCTGGTATTCCAAAGGTCGTAGGTTCGAATCCCACCGTGGCCGGGCATATTTTTCAAGCTCGCCCGGTGTGGATATGCACTCAGAGTAACATCACAAACATAAATTAGCAAGTTGACGGCAAGCTAAAACACGCTTCAGCTGGGAATATAAACGCATTTGAAGGCAGCAAGTGAATTTAAAATAGTGTATTGGAAGCCTTTATTACTTAGTTTTTACAAGCTATTGCCAAAATGCCTCAATTTGCTCGTTTTGTTGACAAAATAAGTTATTTTCATCAAGTACCGATTTGTTATTGCATCTCAAATTTTTGACTCTCCAATCGCAATCACTTAAAATACTATTATTCACGAACTCCTGGATTAAATTTACGAAACAACCCGTCGTTGGAAAGCTGAATGTCTACGCTTTAAAACAAATGTAAACCTGAACGTTTTACTCTAATATTCGTTTCGAAATTTATATTTGAAGCGAGGACTCCGTTTTTTATGATACACCCTGTATCATTATAGCCTACCTACCGAATGTGCAGTTTGTCCATGACCTCTTGTAGGGTCTAGGCTAACCATTCTTCGCACTTACAATAGATATGCAAAATATCTAAACTGAAAACATTTCTTGACAAAACAACTTTTTCAAATCTGTTGCTACACACCATTAGTTCACAATGATTTTTGATTTTTTACTTCCGTGTTCACTCAGTATTAAGGACATTTCTAGGAGCTTCCAGAGGAGCTTCCAAGGAATTTTCAGTAATCGTCAAATATCACGGATTCATTTTATATGAATATAAGGTATTTTATTTATCTGTCTTTGTCAAATCTATTTCCCATTTTTCCTGGTATATTAGAAGTAACAAATAGATTTCTTTTCTTTTGGAATATTTCATTACAGTACTTTTTATTGCTGCACTTTTATATACCGGTAAAATTAAAATGACGCATTGAATGGAAGGAATTTTTCCGAAAAGTAAGGAATTTCATAGTTCGTGCAGTGAGTTGTGCTGTTGTGCAGTGATTATTGATTGATTTGAGTGTTGACACAGAACTGTGATTTGAATTGTTGATGGCGGAAAGTGGCAAATTTCTGATACTTGGTGGAGGTATAGCAGGACTTTCTGCCGCATATCGCTTACTTGGGAAGGTCGCAAATCCAAAGAACATCACTGTACTGGAATCATCTGCGAGATTAGGAGGATGGATCCAATCGAAACGGTACGACGATGGTACTATTTTTGAACTTGGACCTCGTGGAATGAGACCAGCTGGACCAAGCGGGGCGGCTTCATTACAACTGGTTAGTTTTATATTTATTGGATTTGACTAAAGTTGCTTGCAGTCGTTATTGCTATATTTTGCTTTTGTTTAATTATGTATTTCCATAGATCATTTCCGATTGGATCCACCCTCCTATAGTTCTATTATAATTTGTATATAATATATATATATATATATATATATATATATATATATATATATATATATATATATATATATATATATATATATATATATATATATATATATATATATATATATATATATATATATATATAGGAATCATCTAAATATTCTAAAAAAGCTATACGGATGAAACAGACTGTTGTGGTTTTTTGAGGTAAAACGCTATAAAGGTAAAAACTATATGAGGTAAAAACTATATTACGCTCTATCTATATGGTATTGAGCACTGTTTGTGTTTCGTAAACCAAAATCTTAAGCTATATATATATATATATATATATATATATATATGTATATATATATATATATATATATATATATATATATATATATATATATATATATATATATATATATATATATATATATATATATAGATATATATAGATATATATATATATATATATTTATATATATATATATATATATTTATATATATATTTATATATATTTTTTAGAGTGTACAATTATGCAGGTATCAGCGGCTTTCCCGGGGGGTCGACCCCCGGGTCACCCCGGGGATTTGTCAAAACAGCCTTGACAAAAGGACACTAATGCCCGTGGGTTGGGGCAAAATTTTGTCACAAATGCCCCTACCTCCGGGGCGAAATTTGGAAAACAATAATTTAAAATATTTATTTAATAACAAATGGTTATTTACAAAGAAATTTGTAGTAAGTTAATATACTTATTAACATAATTTTGGGCATCTCGTTCAATAAACAATGAAGCGTAGGCCGTAAAGAAGATATTTTTGAACTAAAAATTCATACACAATTTTATATCGGGACATTTGTTATTAATACGCTTGCTATTTTAACCTATTTAATAAATCAGTATCCGATACAAAACGTTTAAAAAGTTTGTGTCCTTTATAGTTTCAAACAATTATTCTGGTGTTTCCAACTTTTATTGAGGATAGATGGCTAATTATTCATTTATAAATAAAAGGATTAAATTACATTCACCTACCATCGATTGCTACTAAGCGGAAACGCGTCATGAGAAAACGCCTGCCTCGTACCCAGGCGGTATGTTATTCTATTGCTCGCGTGGCCTTTGCGTGGGACGCGTGCCGTCCCACGTGTACAA